CTGAAACAGAACAGAGAAGTCCAGTTATCAGACTCTGTTTCTGTGCTCTGTGAACTGAGAAGCACAGAATACAGTCAAAACTCTTCTGAAAATTATCTTTTCAACTTAAAGGTGATTTTCCCTTTCAGTGTTCAAAAACAGTTGACTGGGTAATCTCCATCGTCCCTCTGTAGTCAACCCCAAGCCAACTTGCTAAAAGAGTTCAGGGAGGGAAAAAAAGTTCTCCATGAGAAAGCTTCTATTAATTTGAAATTGTGCTTCTGCTTCTTGAGCAAGTAGGAATCTGGTTAAAGTTCACAGGCTGGAGGACTTTCCCCTTTCCCTAGACTCCCTGTGATAGGGAGACCCAGCTTCCCCTTGCAGCTGGTCATAAATGGAGACCAGGCTCTAGCACTCGGCTTTCACAAGGTATTGTTAGGTCAGCAAAGCCATCAATTAGGCTGTCTGAAGTTTTATCACCAACACAGCAGTAATAAGTGCTGGCCAGAAAGACTTCTGCTCTTCGGCAACTCCTGCAGTTTAAGCCTGTAAAGTTAGGGGTCATTCAGAGGTCAGTGCCAGCTGGGGGCGGCCTTTCTAGCCTAAGCTGGGACACCCAGGGCAGAGGATAAGGTAACTGCCAACCATAAACCCAGCCACCTTTCAACCCACTAGAAAGACAGAGCCTCAGGTACACATGGTTGATATTAGAGCTCAAGAAACGTTTGCAAATCAGGTGGTGGCTGAATCGAAGGAATGCAAAGGAGAAGCAGTTATTTCATCTAAGAAGCCTGGATCTAATTTTGTTGGATATCCAAAAATAAGTGCCTACTTCATGTTACTTTAATGTTTAATAATGCCCATCAAATATTCATGTACAAACAGAGTAAGATGATAAGAAATCTCCTTTATTTCTCCAAATTTAATAAAAACAAAACAATTTTCTACCATTTGTGAGTTACCTTTGTCCCTGCGCACTTAACGACATGTATTTCCCACATATTTGAGCTCATGCACAGGATTCACTGGCCAAGCACTTTGGAAGAGCAGGGAGCATCCAGCTAGCTTTTCCTTAAAAATATACCCATTGATAACATCTGTCAATATTTCCAGTTTCATATCTTAAGCACAGGGGGACTTCATGATTAATGAGTCCACCTGGGGCCACAGGCAGAAACTGAAAACTCATTCTTTGAAATTAGCCAGAAAAATTCTAGCACGCGCTGGCAGCTCTGAGTCCGAGGAAGCTGAAGTCCCTTTGGAGGAGGACAGTCAGACCTCCTGTGAGCACTCTTGCGGGAATACAATTAGGGTGAGGAATAATATCCAGGAGAAAACCAAAGGAGTCTTTTGCAAATGGTGTTTGCTTGCAAAACAATGGACTTCTTTATCATTTAAGAAGTATAGCTCAGTTGTCAAAAAAGAAAGTCACCAGCAACGTAGAGGTGAAAACAAAAGGAGAGTTGAAACTGCGTCTTTCTTCCCACCGGCCACCTGAAGTGTTGCTGAGGAATATCTGATCAGATCGCAAAGACTTCCAGAAGCATCCCTCCAATCAGAAAAAGAACTGAATTACCTACTCTTTCTCCACCACTTTTACTGCAACCAAAGAGGACTGACCTGGTATTTCCACCCCAGGAACTCTTTTTATCAGCTCACCTTAAAACCAGCAGAGATGCTCAGGAGAGTCAGAGAAGGCTCTTCTTGAAGTTTCTAATGGAGGACACACCTGGCAGGGGTTTTACCTCCCTTTATGTGCTGCTTATCCTGGTTTTTGTGTTTTGTGTGTGCGTTGTTTTTTTTTTTTTGTTTCTTTCCCTGCCCCGCCCCATAGGCCAACTTTTTAGGTAAAACGAATTGCTATTTTTTCCCTCTTTAATTTCACCCTTTTACTCTTTTATTCTTTACATCTGGAGGTTGTTCCCTTATTTATGTCTTTCTCTCCAGTTCCCCCAAACACTCCCTTACTCACAGAGCTGCAAGGCATCATGGTTCTTAGTTCTCAGCAGGAGAACTCCACACTGTCTTCAAACAAATAATTACGGGGAAGGTTAGAGGTTCACTCAAAGGTCATTTCTTTGGATACTCATCAGAATGTTTACATTAGTAAAAACGGGGTCCGCTCAAAAGGTTGTTCAATGGGGGATACACAACAATGCAGAACATTAAAAAAGCACTCTGTGTGCTAGCAGGTCTTTACAGAAGCGCTGAACTTGGAAATGCCACTCCAGTATAACATTTTCAACTAGTTACCATGGCATGGACTGGATGTTCACTAGCAGTTATGACAATGGCCTTTCTTTGCCCACTTCTCCTAAGCAAATATGAATAGAAGCCTCTGAAGGTTTTCACTAGATCCTTTTACAAAGGGTCATAGAGATTTTGCTTTTTTCACTTGGGCACCATTTAGCCTCTCTGGATTTTTGTTCTCAAACAATGTTTTTGATCCATAGTGCTATTTCTTGCCAGATTCATAATTCTACCACATTCTTTCAAATCACACAGTTTTAAAAACATATGGGCCCCAAATTTTCAGAAATCTCTTAACATACAACTCCTGCCAATTGTCAATTCCCCTGATCTTGGGATATTTTATTAACATCATAGATGTTACTATGAAAATTAACAATTAATGAGTTGACTGTATGAAAACCCTGACATTAAAAAATGAAATTACCCCTCCCACCAGCACTGACGACCCAGAGGCCACTTTTAGAAAATACACTGACATACATAACATGGAGGCATTTAAATTATAGACTAGAGCAAATCCAACTAAGAATAATTTTTCTTTCTTTAATATTTCTAAGGTAAAATTTCCACATACGGTCTTTTCTCAAAACTGCATGAAACAATTTTTTTCCACATTTTCTAATCTATATTTTTTTAAATGACCTTTTTCAGTGCTCAAGTAGTAAATGGAATATCAAGCATTGATTCTACTTAAAATTTGAAGAATCTAAGTTGAAAATCAACTCATCTTTAGTCTTTTCAGGTTCAGGCTCCATTCATATGGAAAAACGTAACTTGCTGGTTCAATGATAAAAGACTTGTCTTAAAAAGACTCAAAAGGTTCCATGGATGTTAAATGGGTCTTATAAAATAACATTTTGATGAGTTAAGTGTAAATGAATCAGACACATATGGATTAAGTTATCCTTGAATTTCACACGGGTTTAAAAAATAAGGGGAAAAGAGGGTCTTGGCAAAAAACATTTTGGACTTTGCCAAACCCAAAACATTTGAAAAATTGCTGAAGACATCCAACTAACCAAAATGCAGCAAGCTGCACCCAACTTTAATGAAAACCCCCACAAGTTATTTCCAATCCAAAGACTGTTAGGTTTTTCCTCTGTATCTGATATTACAAAATTCTCTAAGTTTTAATGTCATACCAGAATGATTTTGAAGTTACAGACACATAATATACTTCTCTATTGGTATAAACAATTTAACCCTAAGTTACAAAGTCTTCTTCAATATTAAACAGTTCTTAAAAAACATTCTGAGTTTTTTACAACTTGTCTGTAAAATGTGCCAGTAAGCTCAGCATGTACCTTTATCTAGATTTCAGTTAGAAAAAAAATTTTCATTAGCCTCATTGCGCCTTTTTTTTAAAAGGCTACAGATAATTTCATTAGTGACTCCTTAGGGAATGAGTACCCTAAAGAGCGCTAGTTCCATTGATTTGTATTGAACACAAAGTTAGTATCCAGGCTCATACAAAGGCTTGGGAGAGTACTAAGACTATCTACTTTTTCTCTAAATTTTACTTAAGTAGAAAATGCATGATTATGTGTGATCCTTAAAAGTTATATACTAAGACTGTTAGTTTAAAAATAACTTAATTATAGAAATAAATTCAATGACGTTCCAAAAATCATAAGGTCTTTCTGAGTCAACTCAGAGATGAAAAAATAATACATTAAAACAAATTAACCTAAGGTAGCAAATATCACTGAAATCTCATCTTACTGCCTTGCTGAAGAGCTGTTTCCCAGAGACTTCTCCTGCCTCCAGAAAGTCTAAACTCTGTAGTTTTGCATACTTTTCTACAACTGAACTCTGACCATCATGATTTTTATTTTCAAGACTTTTTACCCCAAAGTGTAGTTCAAATGGATAGAAGTAGATTTAGGTGTCATTCTTGTTTGTTGGTTTCTTTCCTTTATTCTTTTCTTTCTTTGCCCACCCCCCCTTTTTAAGTGGCTGATAAATCCCTTCTTTCTGGTTCACTAACTTCATGCCACACCTGGTAACTAACTCCTTTTGGAAGCATTCCTTTTGTTAGAAAGTGCAGGACTCCATGGAGTTATCTGGAAAGCCGGCATCCCTGAACACTCTGAGGAAGAATCAAGAATAGCCAGAATTGAAGCTTTTGCATGGATTGCTTTGGGCAAGGAAGGAAACTGAACTGTTGAAGAGGGATCAGATCAATTGGGGAAAGGTGTTGTAGGTAACTCGGCGACTGGGGACCTGTTAAAACATGAAAAGGCCCTGCTTCCCTATTGTCCCAAGCCCTGGGACCCATCAGCCACAGTGGTTATTCACAATGCTTGCTCCTGGCTGGTGTTATAAACGATGAAACTTCAGCCTGGCAAGTCACTTATCAAATTTCTCCATTTTTTTCTTAGTTTAAAAAAAAAAAAAAAAAAAGCAAATATTTCTCTGTGGTGTGGTTATGGCTAAGAGTAGGATTTTCTCAGTAAGATACATTAGAATTATTAGATCAGTGAATTAAGCAAGTTTAATGCCTTGAAGGTATACTTGGGCATGCAAATGATGCAGTCATGTCGAAGACATGTTTTCCACTGGTGACCAACGTTTTTCACAGACAATTGTGAGCAAAGTAGGGTAAATGAATGAGATTCATATGCTACTCAGGGACAGATTCATGGACAATAATTAATTCCCCTAAACAATAGCTTGATTTATAATTTGATAGAATACTAGCATTGTCTACATCTTTAAAAACACATGAACTAGGCCGGGCGCAGTGGCTCAAGCCTGTAATCCCAGCA